ATATAAAATCTATGCATTTATATTGCAATATCTATTATTTAATTGAATTATTATTCTAATAAATTAAATTATAGAATCCTTAGATTCAAGTCTTTGTGATTTGTTAATCTCACAAGGAGATGTGATTGTGAGATACAAATTACATATGACTGAATTTTAAATCGTCCGTGGCCAAAGTAATAACGAGATACGAATATCGTTATTACGGATAGACCATCACATATGTCATTCTTACTTGCGAAGTAAGTAGCTGATCTTACAAACTAAAGTGTGGTGACACTTGAACGAACATGTGGATATTTTGTTATAGAACAAAACATTGGAGACCCGCTGGGAGATTCCACATGGATAACTATTTGAGTGTTAGTGGTTAATTTCTAACGTTCGGTAGTGGAATTTGTCCTTTGACTTGGGGTTATCATAGTATCTTATATGAGGACAGTCATACTTTGGTGGTGTTGGATGTTGCTTTACCAAGTGTCGCTAATACAACACCGTTCGGGTATATCAAGAATCATATGAAGGTTGTGAATGATCGATACAAGATTCGCCACTCTTAGATAGTAAGATATTATGATCTACATTTTATCCAGTTAAGTTGATAATGAAATTCTTGGCCAAGGTGAACTCATAAGTCGAAAATGAGTTTTCGACTTACATTGACTTAATAGTGGGATAAAGATATGATCGATAATTGATATTGACACATATCTATATCTCATAATTGATCGGATCATATTGACGAAAGGATTATAATTTCACGGTAAACGAACAAGTTTCGTTATGTCATACCACGTGACATTTCCCGTCACATGTATTAAAAAAGACACATTGCTAGATGTCAATTTGGACGACGTATGTGAATTAATGATAAATTAAAGGGGGTATTTTAGTTTATTAAATTTTGACTAGCGCAAAATAATAATTCACGTCGTTAGGTATCGTGACGGGGAACCTAATGGGTCACACATAAAAGAGAACCAGAACAATGAGATTTACCAATTAATTAATTGACAAGTGTTGGATAATTAATAATTGGGTTGCTTATTAATAGACCCGAATTAATTAATTTGATTAATTAATTCATGGACCAAATTTAATTAATTTGATTAATTAAATATTGGACCGGGTTAAGTTTAAGAGACAGGCCAAGCCCACCTAGGCTTATATTAATATACTTCTAGGGTTTGAAAATATAATTGAAAATTTATTATTCTTACTAGCACAAGAAAAGAAAACCCTAGTCATCATTCTTGTTCTCTGTGTGGATCATCGTTGGAGGCTGGACAATTGGACAGCTTGGATTGCAGATCGTGATCATTGGAGTTCGAGAATCAGTAAAGGAGTTTGCATAATTCATCAAATGTATTATTGTGAACACAGTTTCTATCTAAACACAATGCAGATCCTTGGTGGGAATTGAAATTGTTTTATTT